AAAAAACTAGGAATGAAACCAACATTTGACCTAACAATCCCCTCTCCTTGTTTTATACACAAAATATTTTAAATCAGCATATGACAGTGATGCAGCCACAACGATATTTATAGTAGCACAGTTTACAATAGCCAAGCTATGGAACCAACCTAGCTGCCCATCAACAGATGGGTGCAAATAGATATAAACAATGGGATATTACTCAATCATAAAGAAGAGTGCATTTATGACCTTTTCGAGTAAATGGATGTACCTGGAAACCGTCATGCTAAGTGAAATAAGCCAGTCCCCCCAAACCAAAGTCTGGTGTTTGTGCTGATGTGTGGAAGCTAACCCACTATAAGAGGGGAGAAGGGAAGAAGAGACATTCAAAATATTAGACAAAGGGACATGAAGGTAAGGTAGGGGGAGAGGAAAAGGAAAGACAGTGGAATAAATACAAAAATAATTTTCCTAAGCACTTATGCGAATAATGGGGCATAGTGAATCCCACCATCATGTGCATACAAAAGAATGGGGTCCTAACAAGAATAAGACATATTTCATGCTTGTGAAATGTTATCAAAATGAATTCTACTGTCATGTATAACTATAAAGAACTAATAAATAAATGGTGCCTAAGACATGGCGTATTGACAAGGATGCCAATGTTGAAAAAAAGCACTTTGTACAGAGAAGGCAAATTCACATTCAGAGTGAGGGTCTATTTTAATAAGAACAAGACACTTCCCTTCTTCCCTCGAATCTATGGCAGTGGTTGATGTAAGCAACCTGCAGCCGGGTACTTTGAATGATCACCATGGGGACTCGCTTTGTCTATCACATTGGACACTCAGTGTCCGTTTCTGCAGCTCACTAGGCACTCAGAAACCATTCTGAGAACTTGTGCTTAAGATCCCATTCTCTGGAACTTTTCCTGGTGCCAATATCTTATTATGCATTGTTGTCCAGAGACACAGAGGCCATGCATATATATCTCTGCATTTCAAAGAGTTGGCACACACCATTATGCAAGGTGCTGAATCCAAAATCTGCAGGCATCTGTAAGGTGGCAGGGCAGCCTGGAGTTCCAGGGGGTAACCGCTGCTTCATTTCCAGACATAAGAAGTATATCTCCTGAAGAATTCCCTCTTGCTTCTTGTGTATGGTCCAGGTTTTAGTCTCTCCAAGCCTTCAACTCATGGAAGAGTCCCATTTACATTGTGGAGAACAATATGCTTTACTCACCGACCATGGTTCACAGTTATTTTCATCCCAAAGCACCTTCATAGAAAAATCCACAAGGATGTTTGCCCATGCATCCACACTGCAGCCCGGATGAGTTGACTCATACAATTTTTCAGGACTTGTGGTTTACTATGATATATTTTTCACATAATGTCTTCTACATAATTGCTGTCTACATCCTATGAATTCATATTGTCATGTCCCTTTTATACATGAGAAGTCTACATTAAGAGAGATGAGGTGATGTACTCAATGCTGAGCAACCATCATTTTGCTGGCTGGCCCAGGAGTGAAATTCAAGCCTTCTGATCTAAGACTACTGTCTCCATCAAATCTTTGAAATTTCAGTGGAGAGTGCCCTGAATATTGGAATTACAACTATGCCTGAACCACTTACATTCAAAGTATCCAGAGTAGCACTGCCTTTTCTGATGTATAATTTGCAAGGTGTCGGGGTGGGGATGGGGGACGTGAGCGTTTTTCTACAGTTTTCTAGGTTGCTCTTCCACTTGCATTCTATTCCATTTCCATTACCTTTGATAGTTAACACAACTTAAGGGACACTGGGATCGATCATACAGCTCTAGAAGGAGCAAGATGAATTGTGTTGATCTCCCGTCACGTGGGAGCCACCTGTGAATCAGTCAGAAGAAGGGCTTCGGACCTTCCTTCTACTCACAAGGCTGACAGATGTTACTCCTTACATTAGATAATGCTGTCACCTTTTATGGAGGCCTGAATGGAATCTGATGCCTCAGAGTCAGCACTGTTTTGCGACTGAAGCTACAGGGAAGGGTTTCGTTTTTAAATGAGAAGCCCATGGATCAGATGGCATACTTAAACTTTGGTTGACCTCTGTTTCATTGATGACTCTTGGCTGATGACAACAAAACTGTGTGCTTCAATGGATGCGTCGATAAAAGTACAAAAGGAAACAACAGGGACAGAGAGAAGCTGATGGTTAAAATGAAAAAGACAATGCAGTGGCCTGTGCATATTTTACCTTGAACTACTAATTCATATTGTATCGATGCTATTTTTTTTCCACTGAGCCTTTCTTCGTGCATAGAATAAAAGCACCAGGAAAGTTTAATAGCCCTCCTTGATGACTCCGAAGCATTTTCTGTATATTTCTTAAAGCAATTCAGTAGAACATATTCAGTCCAACTTGTTGAATCTAGTGAGCCTCTGATTTGTGCCTAGCACGATGTGAGGAACTTAAGGAAGACGAGATTAGGATGTAGTCATTCCCAGTGAACTAACAAGGCATAGATTTCATTCATCAGCATGTGTTTCATGGTGGTCTTTCCTCCATCAAGCAGTGTTCCAGGCATCAGGGTTCTCAGAGAGGAGACAGGGAGAAGAAACTTGAAGTGTTTTCTCCTTTTTGAGTTTTGGTGAGCTTAGAACCTCGTTGGGACTAATAGTGAAATGAAGCTTTACACATAGGAATGTGGCAGAGGAAAATTAGAAAGTCATTTGACATTGATCCATAAGTGCAACTAGGCTTGAAGGAGATCAAGGTGTACTGGTGCATATGGAAAGGGGGTGGCAAGGGATTCCAAAAGTAGAAATAGACGGGTTGGTGGGATTTATGCAGAGAGCTGGAAGAAGAATGAGGGAAAACGAACACAGCAGAGAAATGCCCATGAGTGTGGCATATGTGGAAAGGACAACAGCAAAGTGGACATGAAAGAAAGACCCATTGGTGACATCACAGGAACGAACTTCATGAGATGCTGGAGGATACAGTGAACTGGGAAACAGAGCAGAAGGCCCAAGGGATTCTGTTGTCTCTTCACTTATGAAGTGAATGGTCTCGGTTGGGCCACTTAGGTGCTTTGTGCCCTGGCTTACTTGTTGTCACGTGAACATCTGTTGTACTCTCGTGCATGTTGTAAAATCCTCAAGAGATGATGCCTGAAGAAATACATTTTAAACAGTAAATTCCAAACCCAAACCTCTGCCTTCCATTTTTTATTACACCACCATGGTGAACAAGAATTTCCTCAATCTACAGCAGGTTTTGCTTTTGTGTCAACTCCAGGCAGAAGGTCACCATGTGGCAGGACAGAGGGTGCTGATTAATTGATATGAGGGTGACGTTTGCCTCATCGTTGAGGGGACTAGGCTGGTCATTCCTGCAAGTGGTGGATCTTGGCAGGAATGTTGGGATGTATGGGATCATGGCTTCTGTGAAAGAGGTTCCTGATCTCTGACATCATAAGAGACAGGTGATAAAACTGTTCATGAAGACCAAAGGGGTACTGTTGAAGTAGACCTGGACCTGGAGTGAAACCTGAGATGAGATTTTGGGGTTCACACTATAATAAACATCTGAACTTATGCAAGCAATTTCCTGTCTTAGGGTCCCTGACCCCTCACCTCCTAAATTGAACTAAAATGGCACCTGTTCCACCTGCTTGTAGAGAGGGTTAGATCATATGCACAACACATGAGGGGATCATGTAAATGCTAAAGTGATAGGACAAATTATTTTATTTTTCTTCTTATTAAAATAACCCTGGGTTATTTGGCCAGCTACTATGTTAGCGTGCCCTGTCATCACATGAAAAAACGTCGTATTTCAGAGATCTAGCTATGCGCTAACACACTATCAGCTCAGCAGTGAGGCTGGTTTCTTAAGGTCTTTGCCTAAAAAATAAATCAGAATTTTAACTTAGAAGATCACAGAATCAATAAGCTGTTAAAAAATAAGGTTTAGATCTGCAGACAGGCATAAGTGAAAATTACCTCAGTTGTTTTTTCACTCTACTTTATCATTGACTTTACATATCCAAGATACATGTTGTCATGTTAGCAGCTGTTGCACATTCATGTGTGTTGTAAAAACTTTAAGATATGAAGTGTGAATAAATGTGTTTTGAACAGTAAAATTGAAACCAAGATCCCTTTCTTCCATTTTTCATTACACCACCATGGTAAAAAAAAAAATGCTCCTTAATCTATGACAGGGTTTGTTTTCTAGCTGGCTGTGGGCAGAAGCACAGAGCCCGATAGAGTTTTCAGAATAATCCAGGTACAAAGGTGTTTCCACTCAGCTTTGCAACCTAAAGCTAGTCTGAGGTATTCTTTACCTGGGGGAGTTTATTGTTCTCTCAGTACAAGAATTCAATCCCTGTCAGGCTTTCAGTGTTCCTCTGAAGGAAACACAGAAGCGCACGCGTGTGCACACACACATGGGTCTTTTCACTCTCTCTCTGGGTCTTAATGTCATGCCTTTGTCATTATGTCTGAAGTTACATAAAATTCCTCACTCGGGTGGTTGAGGACAAAAGGGGTTGGAAGAAGGCAAGGGTTTTGTGGAGATCTTTAGAGAGGGCCCTCAGGAGACTGAATTTCCTCAACTGGGCCTGAGAGATGGATGTTGGGTCATTTCTTCACATCTGCTCAGGGAAGCAAGAGGACCTTCAAAGAGACCTCTACCTGGAGAATCAAATCTTTTGCACCTCCAAAAGGGATTTAGCTGTGCTTTGTCTTGGGGCTGGGAGCAAGGGGAGGAGTACATCTGCCCCTCCCCCACCAGCTGGAGCTCCTAGTATTCCCCCATTGAGACGTCATCAGCAGCCACTGTTTGGTCTACTTCTTGTTTCCCTGGGAGACACTACAGGCCTCTCCAATAGCCTCAGGGTGAAGCCAGAGAGTCCTTTCCCTTGGCCAGCCCTCGCCTCAGGAAGGTACCCCTTCCCTTAGCTCCCAAGGGCCCAATTTCCCCCCAGATTCTCTTGAGAAAAGAGAGCAAAGACGGCCTCATGAATGAAGCTGGAGAGGGCACCTCCACAGAGATGGCCGCTTCAATCTCTCCCCAAGCCACACAGAAACAACTCATATCACTGGGAAGCAGAGATCCTCCAGGGGCCCTAGTCACCGGCACCCTCAGCGGGGACCCGATCACTAAGGCCGCTGTGGCAGGGGGCACCAAGGGAAAGGCTCCCAAGAAAGTCGTCGCCAAGAGGGTGCGAGGCTCAGTCAAGCGGTTTAATGTGAAGAATGGGTATGGCTTCATCAGCAGGCATGGTACTCAGGAAGATGTGTTTGTTCACCAAACTGCCATCACCCGGAACAATCCTCACAAGTATCAACGCAGCGTGGGCGATGGAGAGACGGTTGAGTTCGATGTAGTGCAAGGTGAGCAGGGCACCAAGGCGGCTAACGTTACTGGACCCGCGGGCGCTCCAGTGGAGGGCAGCCGCTATGCAGCTAACCGTCCCCGCTTCCGCCCAGGCTGCTACATTAATCACCGGGAGCCACCACCGGGAAGATCCCGGGATGCCAAGGACCATCTGGATGAAGGCGAGGACAGCTGCGCGGGCTTCACCGCATGCTTCACAGTAGCCCAGGCCCCGCGGCGCTATCTTCCCAGTCGACCTCAAGATCAATCATTGTGGCGTTTCCCGCCCTTCCGCAGGCCGCAGGTCCTGGCCCTCTGTCCATCACTCCTCCCTCATCCCCACGGCCCGTGGGCCTCTCACCTGGCCTGGTCAGTACCAGCCTCAAAGCCTGAGGTCACATCAAGGAGGGGGCTGGGCCCCAGCTACTTGCTGAGTCGACCCAGGGGCAGAGGAATGCCTCAGGGGCCAGGAACCTCACGGTCATCTCTGAGGACCTGGAGGCAGAAAATAAGGAAAGCAGGCACAAAACAGGTGGCCCTCAGCAGAGGCCACCACCACGCTATGGATCCCGGCGTCCCAACAACCCGATCCGTCATCCCCAGAAGGCACATGGCACTGAGGGCCAAGACCTTCAGGAGAAAGAGGGTAAGAACCCTGGGATGGGCCCAGCTGAAACTCCTGTTTGTGCTATTGTGGATAAGAAGAGCAGCCTTGCTGAGAAGGAGGACCCTGACGTCCCAGATGCCTCCTCTGCAGCCCAGGCCGAGTAGCGGCTTGGATCTCTCTTCAGGGACTACCTGGCCTGTGCTGCAGGTGAAGTCCCTTTGAGGAGATGATGATGCCCTTTGGTGTGACCTAGTCTCCAAAGGGCACGTTAGAAAAATAGACATTCAATATTGGACTTGCCATGAGAAAAATACATGACCCTTTACCCAAGATTTGAGGATTAATCTACAAGATCTGTGTATTTCTAAATACCATCTTAGCAGCATCTGTCTCCAAAGTTTCAGTATACATGCTAGCACCCAACTCTGAACATATAATTTCTGATGACCAGGACCACAGTTAGTATTCTGAATTCCCTGTTGAATTAGTTGAACTCTTTAGAAAATGGCTTTCATTTTAAATTGAACAGCATGAAAATAATTATAAAATATTGAAGACTATCTGACAAGTGGTCAATTTCTCAATAAATCATTTCATCTTGCTTTCAACTGTTATCAATGTTGTCTGATTTTTCTTAAAGCGGGCCACCTCATTATTACATAATTGTATGGAGAAGACTGTAGTTTGTAATTTCCTTTTGCTTCTCTTGCAGAAACAATTTTAGCAAAAACAAAACAAAACTGACAGGGGCTGGGGTTGTGGCTCAGTGGTAGAAAGTTAGCCTAGCAAGGGCGAGGCCTTGGGTTTGATCCTTAGCACCACATAAAAATAAAGTAATGAGTGGTATTGTATCTAACTACAACTAAAAATAAATATGAAAAAACCCTGAAAGAACAGGTTTACCATTATTAAATCATGAATTTTAAATTAATTTGGCATAGCTATTGAATTCCTCTGGATATTTTAAAATATTAGCACAGTTCAGGGAAAAGAAATCACTTGATCACTTATCATCATCATTTTCCTGCTCCTCCCTTGCCCCACAATTTGAGCACTAAGTGTGAAACAAAACAGCTCTGTGATTAAAGGCAGTCCCAAGTACCCATACTTACTACTTTCAGACCACTATTAGAAAAAGAAAAGAAGGCAAGTGAACAAAACAACAGTACATGTCAAAAATGGGCCCTCGGGAAACAGATAATACTGACTTTTATTTTTCCTTTTAAGTGATTTTATCTCATACCATTTCAGTATCAAAAGTGGTCACAGCAGCAGTCATAACTTTTATTGTGCCTAACATGCAGACCTGAAGAAAAACATCTAGTCCAGAGTTTCCATCTCTGCTCCCTGGTGGGGCTTCATCCAGCTGGCTTTTTTAGTACCCTTGAGAGGCTGAGCGGGTGAAGGTCAGAGCACCTTCCGGGGTAATAGAGACGTTCCAACTGGGAAATGGCACACCGTTCCTGGCTTTCATTTGGACATGTGGTGGTGCTGGTGGGCAGCAGGCAGGGCCCAGGTTTGACATGGGGTAGGGGAAGGCTGTTAGTAAGTTTGAAAACAACAACAACAACAAAACTATAAAATTTTATTTTTCAGGTGAATGACTTTGGAATATCAGTAGAAAAATCAAAATATGTTTGTTGTTTAGATGTTGAGGCAGTTTCACACCACATTGCATTTTGGAGAATGAGTATATTGCATTTTGGAGAATGAGATATTGTGGGTAAATATCCTCAAGCCATTTGAGTACAAACTGTGAGATTACTCATTCAACAAATATCTGACCACTTCCTTGTGCCAGGATCTATGAAAGTCACTGGTGGGGATGGTTGCATCATGCTGAAGAAGATGACCCCTTCTCCCAAAGGTGTCTGCAGTTGAGCAGAAAGTGAGAGAAAACAGGAAGTGGTTGCTCAACGTTATGAGTATACTAGCAGAATTATCGGGGAACATGAAAGTTAATGCAGGCAACCCAAATATTGGCAGAGTTGTTCCACAATAATGAAATCACCTTGGACAAAAGCTTAGCTACTCAGATACCTGAATTTAAATTTACATCTAGTAATCATCACAAAATATTCAGGATTTTATACAACATCCCAGACCGAGCTCAGACTTTCCGTTTCACAAGTGACCATTCTGGGCATCTTGGGCTGGTTTCTTGAGCAGTGTTTTACTGGACCTCTTGCTTGTTAATGGAAGGATTTTCCCCTTTGTTGCTCTTCTCAGTTTGCCACAGGCCCCAACCCCTCTCCTAGGAAGTGACCTATTATCTCAATTAAGGGTCAAGTTGTTGTTGCCAACTGTGGAATAGAGCCACCTAACTTTAAAAACACAGAGGTGGACCCCACGGTTTGGTCAAATAACAATACAGTGGGAAGAGCACAACTGCAACCCCTGTTGAAATCCATCTCAAGAATTCTTCCAAATTTTCTTACCAACAATAGTGTCCCTGAAAGTCTAAAGCTAGAAAGGGAGTTTAAAATGATTGAACTTTTGGTAGAATGCTTTAGCCCTTATAATTCTCCTATATTTGGGATCCCATAGGACCTCCATAAATTGAGGTTAGTTTAGCATCTTCATATAATCATTAATGCAATGGTTCCTCTAAACTCTGTGGTTCCAAATCCATATGCTCCCCCAACGCAGATCCCTGAGGCAGCTGCTTATCATAATGTCCTGAACTTAACGAATGCATTTTTTTTTCTGTATTCTTCTGCATCCAAGGAACCAGCCACTATTTACCTATGAGATTTATATCTCTAAGGGTAGACAGGTAGCTTGGACAGTCCTTCCCCAAGGGATTCATTGAGAGCCCTCATCTGTTGGGAATATTGGTACAGGACCTCATGGGTTGTTAAACAGTGTTTAAACAAGTAAAACTGTATCATTTCAATATGTAGTGGCCTTCTCTTATGTAGAACTTCAAAAATTTTATCCTTGAAGGGACTGGCTCTCTTCCCAATTTCCTGGCTAACGAGGGATATAAAGTATCCTAAAAGAAGGCTCAAACGTGCCTACCCCAGGTTACCCACTTGGGAATAATAGTGGAATGCGAAACTCAAAATTGTGGCCCAGAAAATATTCCACCCATACACGCATGTCCCTTTCGTCAGACAGTCAAACTCAGCACTTTTCAGGGAACTGGCTACTGTAGCATTTGGATCCCTGGATATGCTGAAAGTGTATAACCCTATTATGAATGCTTTTAGGAAGCATGGGGACTTTCACAGGCCAATTATCAACTAGATTCCAGAGGCAAGAAAAGACCTTCAATACATTACAAATATAACTCACCAGGCACCTGCTTTGAGTCTACCTACTCAGGAAATCTTTCAATTATTTGCAACAGAAAATAAGGGAGTGGTGCTGAAAATAGTTACTCAATTGTTGGGGGGCACTCCTCAGTCTGTAGGTTACCTATGTAAAGATTTGGACAAAGTCACCAAGGGCTGGCCTCGAATGTATTAGAGCTGTGATTGCACAGGGACTCCGTCCCTGAGGCACACAAACTTACTCTGGGAGGGTTTCTGACTGTACTTACCTCCCACAACATGGCAAAAATCCTAATTTCTATAAGTAGTCTTTGGTTAATAGATAGCCATATACACAAACATCAGGACCTTTTGTGGAAGGAACTGAAATTTCCTTAAAGAATTATCAGATTCTCAATCCAACTTCTTTCTTATCCGAGGAAAGGGGGAAAAAAAAAAAAAAAAAAACCTCTCCACTCTTGTAAGAATATTTTATTGGAAATTTATGCTGCCAGATGTTATTTATCTGATCATGGTATAGATAAGCCTGATCTTACCCTGTACACCAATGGGAATGCATCAGTGATTGATGGAATTGAGTGGTCAGGATACTCAGTAGTAACAGATTTTTAGGTTCTTGAATAAGAAACACTTTTCACCAATACCAGCACCACCTGGTGAAACTAGTTTCTCCCACCTAGAACTGGAACTTTTTAAGAATAAAGGATTCAACATAGATACTGATTCCAAGTATATCTTTCATATACATCATGTTCATGCACCTATCTGGAATGAACAAGGATTATTCACTACTGCTACTACTCCTGTTAAAAACACCAGGAAGATTCTTCATCTCCCAGAAGTGATTTCCCTGCCATCCCGTGAAGCAGTCATCTATGTTCTTAGACATCAGAAGGGAGAGAACACAATAGATAAAGGAAATAAGAAAATAAGTTGCTCTGCTCCTATGGGGGAAAAATGTCTTCCAAAAGCCATCAACATTTGACAGAGGAGACTCAACAGGCTGTTAATACAGGATACCCATTAGATCATACAGAATGGTGGGTTTCTCCCAAGGGTATCCTATTACTTATTCATTCATCACAATGGAAATTTTTAAAGTTGTTCCATCACCTTTACCACTTGCGAAGAGATAATGGTCTTAGCTTAATAAAAAATATTTTCTTTACATTATTGATTGTTTCCTTTGCTGACAAGAAACTTTTTAGTTTAAATATATCCTATTTAATAATTCTTCATTTATTTCTTGCACTTTAGGAATCTGCTTAATGAAGTCAGGACTGAATTTGACATGATGATGGTTTGGACCTAGGTTTTCTTCTATTAGGCTCAGGGTCTCTGGGATAATTCCTAAGTCCTTGATCCCCTTTGAATTGAGCTTTGTAGATGGTGAGAGATATGAGTTTAATTTAATTTTGCTGCATATATATTTCCAGTTTTCCCAGAACCATTTTTTGAAGAGGTTATCTTTTCTCTAATGTATGTTTTTGGGACCTTTCTCTAATATGACATAACTGTATTCTTGTGGGTTTGTTTCTGGGTCTTCTAATTTGTACAATTGGTCTACATGTCTATATTGGTGCCAATACCATGCCATTTTGTTTACTATATCTCTGTAATATATTTTAATGTCTGGTATTGTGATGCCTCCTGCTTCACTCTTCTTGCTAAGGATTCCTTTGATTACTCTGGGTTTCTTATTTTTTTTTTTTTCCAAATGAGTGTCACAATTGCTTTTTCTATTTCTATGAGGAATGTTGTTGGATTTTAATTGTAATTGCATTAAGTCTGTATAACACTTCTGGTAATATGGCCATTTTGACAATGTTAATTCTTCCTATCTAAGAACATGGGAGATCTTTCCATCTTCTAAGGTCTTCTTCATTGTA